CCAGGCCAAGCATAGCCCACCAATCTCCTCTGGGAAGGAAACAACTGACTAAAGTCACTGCTATCCTGCTTAGATTAGATTCTTATAGTCACCCATTGATGTTAATAATGAGGTATGTCAATACTAATAATTGCACTCAGGGACCTCCTAAACTCCAAACATATACTCCCTTAATTTCCCTCAGCAATTCTGGATCATTCATCCCTACCAATACCCATGTTAGATTATTGATTCAGAGGAATGAGTTAAAATGACCAAGACAAGTAATACATTCTATTTCAATGGAATCATCTCTGGGTCTCCTAATAGATATTTCCCACCATTAGAACTAAGATTTCTAGGTCAGCAGAGTGTAAGGATTCAAGAAAAGAAAGAAAAAATTTGCTAGTTGGTTGCTAGGAATAATGGTAAATGATTCAATTCCTGTTTCCACTGTGTAATTCTTCTACTGGTGAATCCTGATTGTGAGAGAAATTGTACAGTATTTTGGGCACATAAAGTCTACTAGAGAACTGGTGCTCTGGTAAAGATGGTGGATAGATAAGAGCAAACTACAGAGGCTCCCTGAGAGGCAACTCAAGATGCCAAAATAACACAGCATGGGGAGTCCCGGACAGAGGGAGATGGATCCTCTCAACCCAGAAAGACACTAAAGCAAAAAGAACCAGTCAAACATGAGTCCTGGGGTTATGATTTTAAATATCTTACTGTTTATCATCCAGAAATAGATCTAAGTGGATAAATATTCTATTCAGATTTCAGTGTTTATTGTGATATTTTTGTGTAAAACAGGTTATGAATTTCCATAACATTGATTTTATTGATGATTTTGTCCAGTTCAACTACATCTTTAATACTTTTCCTTTAATTACCTTTTTGCCTTGTTTTATTAATTTTTTAATTAAAAAACTATTATGATAAAGAACACATTGCAAATAATTCACATTAAAATAGTCTTTATTTCTTCTTACTTTTCATTCTTAGACTTTATAGAGATGGGGTGGGGATCTTAAGAAGAGATGATGGATGTGTGGAAAAGGGAAAATAGAAAGAATTGATCTTTAACACATTTTTATAGTTTTTAAAGTCCCCATATAATAATTCTAACTACCCTGCCATATATGAGTCTGCTTTATGATTGCTCAGTCTCTTCAAATTGTGTCTTTTGTCCTTAAGTAGGTCTTTCATTTTATCTTGACAGTCAGTTTATAGTAAATTCTTTGCAACAGCCATTTGAATGTGGTAATAAGATTTGAGTTGGAAAAAGGAGTTTATAGTCTGTGTTTTGGTCCTATCCCTGCACAGAGTTTGTGTTTCTAAACTGTGAATACTGGTGCTTTTCTTGCCCTCACCTTATGTGAAGGAAGTTGGATAGCCAAAGTGGGGTGGAGTCAGCATTATTATCTACCAGCTGGAAGGTTCAGAAGGGTGGAATTGTGTATTTAATTTCTCTCAATACACTAGAATCTGATAAAAATCCAACAGAGTAGGCTCTGGATGGTACTTTCTACTGAAGGAAGATACTATAAAGCACAGAGTGCTTTTATATACTTTGAAATACTTAAATTACCTCTTTTTTTCCTAGAAATATGAGGAAATTTTTTTCATCAAGATTCACTAGGAAAACCCAGTTAATCCCTATATAGTAAAATTCTCAAAACTATTTTAATCATGTATAAATGATTCCATACTTAAGACTTTTTGCCTTAGACTTGTTTCCTATTGAGTGTCTAGCAAACTATCAATTATATTTCAGATTTTCTGCTTAAGGAATAAAACCTGAAGAAGTTTTTGCTTATAAATATCTGCTCCCTTAGCAGTTACAATGTTGTACTGTTTCTCCTTTTGTCTGAATAGAACAGTCACTGATATTTTTAGTTTGTTTAGTTTTAAATTGTCAGGAAGGAGTGGCAACTTCCAAGCTTCTTACAAGCTGGAGTGGGACATGGAAATACCATTTTCTCTCTGTCTCTGTCTCTGTTTCTCTCTTTGTTGTACAGAAAATGCTTTTTTGTTATATTTGGTTGTTAGATAAGGGCATTCTTCCTCTTACAAAAAAACTTTTCCACCCAGTCTATTTTGTCTGTCTGGAAAGTATTATTCTGGAAAGTTTTGTACATGTGTACCTGCAAAGTATTCAGCTAATTAACATCTAATCTTCCACTATGTTTAGTTTCTTTATAGTTTGTTCAAACGTGAAAAAGTTAATTATTTTGATTCTGAAAAGTATCTCTGGGAAGAACTTTATTTAGTCATTGAATTTTAAAATTAACATGCATTACTTGCGAGAACAAAAATCACTGAGAGCAGAAAATGAGTTTGCATTCCATACCAGTTGAATTCACAGGGTTTATGTAACATCCTACCATATTATAAAAATCTTTAATAAATATTTGGAAATAAGTTAATTCTGAGGAAAATAGAAGTAAAATAACTTTATATCATATAAATTATTGGTTACTTTTAAAATAAGGTCTTAAAATGCTAGGCAAAAGACTATTAACACTGTTAAGAAATGAAGGGTTTGTTCTAGAAATTTACACTGATGCTGTGACTTCGCTACATGACTTTGTACCTACCATTGTTTTTCATTGTTTTATCATGTGCCTCTATATCTTTAAAAAACAATAATCTTGGCAATACATTTATTAATTAACAAGACAATAAAGCACATAACATTATTAAATCTTTAGTTCGTATGCCCTGTGTTAAGTGAATATGGATTTACAACTTCTGACAGCATGAGTTAACTACTCTATGAATGCTCAGAATCATTTTTAGAAGTGAACAAAAACCCAATTAATCAAACCAGCTATTATATATTTCTGACAAATATTTTATGTCATTTCATACTTGCACAATACATTTCTGAAAGAGCTGAAAGCTGTTCTCCAAAGGCAGAAGAAATTATCTAAATGGGGTGATCAATGATAAATATGAGATTAACTACATGTTTTCACTTTCCTAATTCTTTCAGGTTAATTAAACTCAGCAGGATTTATAAACAGAAGTGCTCAGGGACAAATTCAAACATGGTAGAGTTAAATAAAAATAAACAGATCTTGCATCAGCCAGGTTGTTTTATTAGTGATTACGGCAATGCCTCAGTTAATAAAAAAACAGAAAAGCACTTTTGAAATTCTTTGTGCCTTTTGTTATAAAGTAAAATGAATCAGCTAATAGTTGACACTGGTTCAACCCTACTGAGTATCTATCCACTTGTACATCCTGAAACACCACTGACTTGAGTCACAAAAATATCATTTTCCTTCTGGAGTATTTCAAGGTTATTTTATTTAGTGTCCTGGACTCTAAATATTTCTTTCAAATCATCAAATATTCAGTGATCCAGTCTTCATGCAATGCCTGACATATCTTCATAAAACTCTTCTAGAAGCCTTCTATCTAAAATAAAATTCGGGTTCCTTACCTGAATTTACCAATGAAGGCAATATTTTAGATCCTAGACAGTTCTCTATCTGCTATCATACAAGGCTATTTCTTCTTTAGACCATTTATTTGCACTTGTTCTTGAAGTTAGCAAGCTTCTGAAGGCAACTTAAGGCCTTAGTGCTAACTGTAGCACCTGGAAATTGTTTTCTCTTTCATTCTTACATTAGTGGTTTGATATCACATGCAATTCAGTTTAAATTTAACCTCCACAAGAGACATTTAATGATTCAATATTGAATACTATCTTATCATTCTGCTTTTTAGTTTTAGTGTTTGTCAATATAGGACTTTTTCAATTTCGGTAGTTTATTAACTATACTTCTGTAATAGAATGTGAGCTCTAAATGAAAAATTGATTTAAGTTTATTTCATACACTAAGTATTCAGTTGTACACCAGTGATTGCTACTTGATATTTTACCAATATTTGCTCAGGGTATAAACTAGAAGAAAAATATATAAAATCCAAACTTTAGAAGAATATACATAGGAATGTATGCATAATTGTCTTTACTATAAATTGTACACATCTATATTTACTTATAATATTGTTTCCTCAATATTTTACCATGCACTTCTATTTCTTTATAACAATAACTGGTGTTCTGTGTATTTAATAAGATAATGTAACATAGAAATTTATTAGGACTAAGGATAAGTCATGACAAATGAAAGTAAAAGACATTCAATAGTGAACTGATGCAATTCTGTTTATTGCATCTTTCATTAATACCTCACTCAAGTGGAAAATAGAAATTAATTTCTATTATTTTACATTCTATGCTCAATGAAAAAGTTAATAATCTGATAATATAAACTAATTTTTAATTTAAATTTTATATTATTTTATTTAACTACTCAAACATGCAAATATCTCTTGTAAATATAGAAAAATATTCCATTAAGATTAATAAATCAATGATAACTACTGCCAGTATGATTCATATGAATTGTTATGATTGTTTTTGTGAAGCAGATCATATACCTGGATGTATGCAGCCACATTAAATAATGAATTGCTTTTTAACAATTTAACTGGATAAGAAATCTGGGTTTTCCTTTTAAAAGCAGAGATAAAGAGATTGATTTATAGGTTGAACTAAAGTCTATGGCAAAGATTAATTCTATTTCAATGCATCTATAAGTTCAATCCAATTCTAATAAAAATCTTAGCATGGTGTGTGTGTGTGTGCACAGAAACTACAGATCAGGTTAAAATAGAAATGCTAGAGTCTAGAATAGCAAAGCAACCTTGATATCCTGTAGTGTATTCTAAAAAGCTAACTTTACATTGTCTGGACTTAAAATGGTGAGAAAATTATAAAGAGACACATTTGTATAACTGATTTATCTATCCAACCATCCATACCTCTATTCACCCATCCATATTTCATGTTACTTAGTTATACAGATTTAAACTCAGGGAGGAGGCAGTGATGTGACCAAAATCCTACAGTCAGTGCTCTACTCTGCTTTGAAAACAAAGCACACAAGCTTACTCGTGGCTCTCACAGTTAATGTGATATTGTGCAGACGCCTGATACTCACAGGTATGCAGCTTTTCCTTCTTCAAGTTCTTTGCTTTTCCCACTGGAACCACTCTTCTTCCCACACATTCTCCTGGTGATGCACATCAGTAACCCACATTGTCGAATAAAGAAGCAGCTGACATCTGTTACCACAAGGATTAGCAAAAGGGCTGCAACTCCCAGGCCAATGACTGCTCCAAGCCCAAGACCATTAAAAAGTGTGTCTTAAGAAAAAAATAAGAAAATAATTCCATTAAATTCCTAAGTCAAAAAACATCAAACAATAATTTAAAATTAATGCTAACAAATTATATTTGACTAAAGAGACAGGAAAAAGCATTAATATCTGGCAGGCTTCAATTTCATCATTATTGGGACCTATTATCTGGCTTTCAAACCATGTCTTAAGCAGCTGACAGGTTAATGACTTGAACACTCCTTTCAAAAACTTTTTTTAAAAAAGACTAGGCATATTCAATGTATTTCTTGATTCCCTGAGGAGAGGATAATGAATGGTATCATATTCAAAACTGTAATTTATCAAAAATTCACAGTCATTATAGATCACCACCATGCTAAATGGGAAATATAGTCATAAAAGCTATACAGTCATAAATGGTGTTACTTAAATATCCCATAAGGAATTATTTTAGTTTTAAGGCTTAAACTTGCAAATGAATCTTTCCAAGCATTTTGCTTTAACAGTGAAATCATTTTAAGATACCTACCTCTGAATATTTTTAAAAATCATCATTATAGAAGAAAAGACTTGCTCATATTTTATCAAGTTAATATTTTAACAAGTATATTAAGCTAGAGGAAAAATTTTAGTTAGGCTACTTATAACTTGGTCATATCAAGAAAATATGGAGACATGTAGAGCCATTTATCTATGGCATTTGGTTGCAGGAAATTCAAAACGATATGAAGAATGCATTCATGAAATAAATGATTATGAATAGGATGGATAATGCTGGCTTATAAGACAAAAACATAAATAGATCAGGTAGTGATAAAAATGGTTTGCTACCTACTGCAGTGGACTATGTGGAAAGATGCACAACAGGAGAAGTATGGATGAAAAAAACAGGGACAATGGAAATAATGTGCAGTTGTTATCTAAAGAAGAAAACAATGAACAATTTTACAAAAATTCAAAATTATCCTTCATGTTTGTATGTTAATAATTTGCATGCATAAAAGAATAAAGTTACAATTATCCTTTTAATGGCATAAGCATAGTAATGTTACATTCCTTACACAATTGGTATGGAACAAAAGCGGCAAAACCATATGGGGAAAATCACTTGTAAAGTTTGAAAAACAAAGATTTTCTAAATTATATCTCTAAACCTAGATGTAACATTTTAATAATAACTTGGAGATAACTTGTTTCAAAAAAGGAAGAATAATTGTTCCTATCTAAATGTATCGTTCACAGATCAGCCTTGACTATGTTGGTATCAGACTAAGCCTTAGCCCTTGTGGATATACTGAGTCCATGACCGTGTCGATTTGTAGTTGCTACTCTTGTACTCCATTAACATACCTCCCATGTGCAGATATAGTGCTCTGCAATAAAGTCTACTGATCAAGGACAATATATCTGATTGATTTTAGAAATTTAGATTTACCTTTTCTAAGTACAAAGTTTTGCTTTACACTGAAATGTACTGATCAGGATCCAGAAAGTCCTGGTTCACTCACTGTCAGGCATCTGTGTGGATAGCTGTCTACCATCTCCAAGTCTGTGGTAGCTCTTTATGAAGTGGGGACAGTTATCCAAGCAACAACGGGGAAGTAGGCCAAAGCATTGTTGTGACACTATCATAAAAATGGTAATGTACTTAACAAAGCACTTATTTTTCAGCACACAATAAACATTTAACAATTATTGATCGTTATTATTCTAGAAAAATTGCTTTATGAAAAATAAGCGCTATCTAAATTTAAACGTGAAACTAGACGATAAAGATATTTTTTTCCCCATCAGTAATCTAAGGCAGAAAAGAAACTTCTACTCTCTAATAGTTGTTCTTTTGAAAATACCCTTTTAGGAAAATGATTTAAATTAGGGTAGTTAGTTTCTACCTGATAAATATTTCATTTGTGACCTTTTCAGTGTTAAACTGATACAGTGATCTTCATTCTATCTTTAGACAAATGGTATTTGTAAAGCATCCTATGATGATATCACTTCTTTCAAGAGAAAAATACATTTTATCATGAGATAAAACGTTGCAAATTAAATTACTATTTTTTAAATGTGAATATATTTTACAACTGCAGAGAATAGTGTGAATATTAAATAAGCTTAAATTATAAAAATTTATTTTAAGTGATATTTAATATACACTTTAGTTTCTACTTAATGATTTAATTATTTATTTTCTCATATCCCATAAGGCTAGGCTGTCATAACTATGAAAGCCAAATTTCCTGTGTTTTAATTGTTCATGTACTTTGAATTTTCACAGATGAAATCATAAGCACATATAAAATGACAATCCTATGATTTGAGGACTAATAATTTATCAGTGATATAAATAAAACTCTTCCTTTATGAATTGCAGTTTAATTGTTTAAAAATAATTGAACATAAGTAAATGAATTTAAAATATCTCTTTTTCAGATTTTTGAATATTTATAGGTATGTTATACTTATCATTTTTTTTTTGTCTTTTTCCTTTTTACCTGTACCAGGGATCAAACTCACGACTTCCTGCTTGCAAGGCAGGCGCTTATGCCGCTGAGCTAAATCCCCAGCCTCTATACACTTATCATTTTTATAATAACCTCATTGCATGGGAAAATAATATTAACAAGTCTACAGATGGGAATATTGAAGTCTAGAATGTAGTATAGTCAATTTTTCACATTAGTCATCATTGTTAATAAAAATATACAAATAAAATGAGTACAGTGAAATATATAATTTCATACTGAGAAAAATTTATTGTCTATATACTTTTACAATTAATGGAATTAGAATGATTTTCTATGTGTGTATATATTTAAATGAGTTGATTGTAAATTATATAAAATATTTCTGGATTGAGCTGTCTTTCTAGTTATCATTTTATGCTTTGTTTTTGTAATAAAGAAAATTTTCTACTAGAATCTAATAAGAACATATAATTTAGGAATCAGAAACTTTAAAACTTTATATTTGATTCACATTCTTTTTAAAATGAAAACATGGAAACCAAGCTGATTTTTGTTGCATTCTTCTGAACTGGAAATTAATAAAGAAATCCAACTATGTATTCTCCTCATGTTTCTGTACTCATATTCTAATTTTTACCAAAACATAAAAACAAAGTACTAAAATGAGAAAAAAGTTTAATTCAACTTGTTTGTTACATATATTTCTTCCCATGTTTCTGTTATAATTATTTAGAAATTTAATTACCCAATATTGAAATTAATTAAAATTTGGTTTGGATATCAATGTTCTTCTTAAGTAAAGCAAGTGGACAATGAGAAATTTACATTCAAATTTTATGTTATTTCTTATCTACTTGGAGATATTTTAGGAAAATTTCCAATAATGCTAGTATTTCTTATATATTTGAAACAATATATTCAGATTTGCAGGTCCAATAAAAAATAGGAAAATGTTGATTCAAATAAAATAAAATATAATAAATTTAATATGAAAGCACAGTTGTTAGTAGTCTAAGTGTGATCCTGTTTCTGTTTCTCTGAACAGTACTTTTTGTCTTCTGAGTGTCCAGCATTTAGACTATCTAATGGACATCTCTGAAAGAACAGACCCTTCATCTTTGATTGATATTTAAATGCTTTGGTGGACACAAAATTTTGAATATCTAAATTTTTCAGTGGCTGTTAAATACCCCTGAACTGTGTCAGTTACAAAGAAGAAAGTCATTGCAAATTGCATCAGCAACTTGTTTTAAAATATCATTTGCCATTCACCTGGAACTGAAAATAAATAGCAAATCCAATATTAATTATTATCTATGTTTTTATTCTCCTTTCTCTCTAAACCAAGTTTAAAGTTACTCCATCTATACCGTAAGAGAAATATACTTTTTCAAAAGTGTTAAATTATAAAAGAAGCATCTTATAGTTTATTTATTGAAATTTGCATTGAACATTATAATGAAAACAAAGTTAGAAATATGATATATATTTAATGAATACTCTAATATTTTAAAATGCATTCAAAGGTTTTTTCATGCATTCATAGTCTATACATTATAATGGAAAATATCTAAAGAAAATTACTAGTTTATTTTTGGGTTCGTTATTAATGAAATATGAATATTAATACTATTTAAGATAGTCTTTTAGAATCAGATATAAAAACATCTGGAAAATTGAAAGCATTATAGAAATATGTCGTTATTTTTGCTGCATATTACTTTAAAGAAATTTTATTTATTGGACTTTATTTCTATAATGCTTTTGAAAAACAGATTTTTCTATTTTACCAATTTCTAGTTTATAGTAAGTATATGACTATTTGAACATTGTTAATAATAGTATGTTGCATTAAAATAATTAGGAGTGCATTTGTACATTTTATAAGCTTTTAATTAACTAAAATTAATTTTGCCATATTGATGATCAAACTAATGATTTTGCACAAGCAAAATACACTTTAACTTCCAAGTAACATCTAAGTGCCAAGAAATTTATAAAACTATAGTTATTACATTTTATAATTTCTCCAGTAGGTTATATGCATTAATATCATCTCTACTTTTATAATTTTGTACATTTAAACGTATACATTTGTATGCATTTTCCTCAGCTTTGGGATAAAATTATAAAACTGTACCACTATTTAAGTCTAAACATATATAGGTAGCTATCTCTGTATCTGTCTCTTTGTATCCATATCTGGAATACTCTTCCTTTATAATTTATTTTATCCACTTAATCTGCTGCAATTTTTTTTGTTATCCTACTGTTACACTTATTTTTTGTTTTACTTTGTGCGATATTTTTAAAATGAATTTATGATATAGAAAATAGAATTCTCAAAAGATTACTACCAAGTTGATCAAATTTGTCTGCCTCCTAACAAAGACTCTATCATCTTTTCCTGTCTAATGTTTTACTATGTCATGTCAGTTTAGAGTACACATAAAATTTTCTTCATGAGATTTTTTTAAAGCATGTATATCTTTTTCACAAAATTCACTTATTAGCAACATTTTAATTCTTTTGAGTTCATGCAGTCCAGTTACAAGAA